CGGCGGCGATGCTCGAGGCCGTCGCCGTGTCCTGGTCTGCGGCTGAGCGGTACGCCACCAGCGCCGAGGTGATTTGGTTGATTGTGAAGACGTCCTGGTCCGGGCCCGTCCGGTAGGCCAGCAGCGCGCCCGCGATGGCGGCCTGCGTCTGCGTGTCCTGCGCGCTTGCCGTGCGGTAGTCTCCCAACAGCGCGTCCACTTGCGCCGCGGTGTAGTAGGCCAGCAGCGCGGCTGTGATGGCGCTGGTCGTCTCCGCGTCCTGCGCCGTTCCGGTTCGGTAGTCTCCCAACAGAGTGTCCACTTGTGAGGAGGTGTAGTAGGCCAGCAGGGCTGCTGTTATGGCAGCGTCAGTGCCCGCCGTGGAGTAGCAGTCTGCCGTGATGCTCAGCGTGTCGTCGCCGTTGGCCAGCGCAGCAGAGAGAGGAGCTCCCAGATGCAGGTTGCGAACGACGTTACTTCCGCGAACGAGCTCCCAAGTCGTGAAGCCCGCCCAGGCCGGCGCGTTAACAACTCCGCCGCTGCCGGAAAGCTGCAGGGCTGCGAGCTCCGCGAGGAGTGCGTCGAGGGCGCTCTGGAGCGTGGTCTCGCTGGCCGAGAGCGCGGCGTTCGTGGCGTATGAGGCCAGCAGCGTCGCGTCGGCCTTGGCCCCCTGGAGCGCCGCGATGCTGGCGTCCCGGCTAGCAAGCTGCGCTGCGACGAAGGCCTCGGTGGCGAGACCCAGCAGGGCATTTGCTATCTTGGAGTCTACCTCCAGCGGCGTGTCCAACCCGTCCACCGTGGAGAGCAGGGAGGCCAGCGCGCTTGCGTCCGCCTTGCCGAGGAGGGCGGCGTCCAGGGCTGCCGTGGTGACGGCGTCCAAGAGGGCCGTCGCTATCTTAGAGTCCACCTCCGAGGAAGAGCCCCACGCCGACTGCCAGGGCGTAAGCAGTCAGTCGCAGGCGTCTGCCTTGGGCCTGCAGCCCGCGTCCTCGGCCTCGCGAGCTCGGAGGCCAGCGCCGCGGCGGTGACGGCCCCCAGGAGAGCGTTGGCCACCTTGGTGTCCACCTCCAGAGGCGTGATCCTCGCCGCTATGTCCAGGGAGTGCTGGTCCACCACCGTCTTGAGGCCGTAGTTGGCGGCCACCGAGGCCAGCGTGGCGTTGTTGGCCGAGGCGATGGAGCCGTTCATGGCCGCCGTGGTGCTGTAGTTGGACAGCTTCAGGTCCACGCCGTCCGGGGTGCTCTTGGTGGCCACCACGCCCTCCAGCACGTCGAAGGCCGACTGGTCTGCCTGGTTGGAGAGACCCGTGGTCAGCGAGCTCTGCAGCGCTGCGATGCTGCTTCCGTGCGCGGCCACCTGCCCGTCCGTGGTGGCCAGGGCCGCCGCCGTTGCTAGGGGCGCAATTGCCGGCGCCAGCGCGCTGCTATCCAGCTTTGAGGCCAGCTCGGCGGTGACTCGGTCGTCCAGGGACTGGATGGCAGCGGCGTTGTTGCCGGAGGCTGCCGTGTTCACCGCCAGGTCAGTCACTTGAGCGTAGGGAGTCAGAGCGAGGGCCAGCTGTCCTGCTGTGACGTGCGTGCCGTCAGTCACCTCTCCGTTGTCCGGGACCTCCGGGATGTTGCCCGTGACAGGTCCTTCAAACATGTTTTCTCAGGAGTAGTCGTTACACGAATTCGTAACGATGGGGTGTTGTACTTTCGCAACGCTCCCTCACTTGAGTCGCTATGGGACATTCGGGGGGCAGGGTGGCATAATTATATATCACCTTGCAACAGCCCCTACCAGTACGCGAAGTGGCGCAGTGTCCTATAAAATCGGAGACAGGGCATGATGTGATGAATTGACCGATAAAGTCGGTCAAAAACGCTTGGGACACCTCGGCCACATGACGAGACCTGAGCCAACCTTGCCCATTCATGAACCAACCTTGCCCATTCATGAACCATTGATGAATCACCCGGTTCCATTATTGACTCTTAGGGTGATCAGGGGCGGACCCGGGAGGAATCGAGCCCGAGACCTTTTTAGGAACGGCTTTGAGACAAGCATATGACTACTGGCAGGATCAACCAGGTTTTTTCCAAACCCTCGCGGTGAGACCGTTCTTGGGCCACGTTTTTGGGACGAGAGCCCATGGTGACAGCGTTGGTCTCCGGAGCGACGTTTTGGAGGTTCGATTCCTCCCCGGTGCCTCTCTGGCGGGCTGACGTGTTAGAGACCGGTGACTTCGGCGGTGACAAGCCGCGTCACGTGGGAGAACCTCGGCGGGCTGACATGTTATGTGGGAGCACCTCGGCGGGCTGCCGCGTCAGACACTGGCTGACTCTGAGGCGTGCCTCGGCAGGCTGACGCGTTAGAGACCGATGACTTCGGCGGTGACAAGCTCAGCGGGCTGGAATTCGCAGGTTTTTCGGGGCAGAAAACGGATTTCGGAGCACTGCGAACACCTGGAGCCGGTTTTCCGCGGAAAACGAGCGAACTTGGAGGCCCAGGCAGCACAAAAGACGCAGGACACAAAAAACGCACTTTTCGGAGTTCGCCGTTTTCGGCGCTTTTTGCTCCAAAAACGGAGCGGTGACGAAGCGGTGACATCACTGGTGACAAGTTCAGCGGGTTGAAAATTATGCAGTTTTGGAGCGTTTTGCGACCAAAAAACCCCCTTGAATTAGGGTAGTATAAGCAGACATTCCTTACTACTCAGACTTTCTCAACGCGGGCCTGGCACTTGCAGCCGGCAAGGGCCTTGGGCCTTTGGATACGGACGTTCCGTGCGTCCAGCTTGACTTCAGGAGCCCTGCCAGGACTCTTTGAGGCAGCTCTGCCACCTGTCTTTTGCATCGCCGCAGTCCGCAAAGACAGCTTGTTCACGCACTTCTTTTCGAAGTCATCCCAGGCCCCCCAGGCCTCGGAGCCTTTCTCCATGGCAAGGCACATTCTGCCTGGGTCCTTGGTCCTCGCCAATGCTGCTGGGCTCCCACAGCATGTGGGTCCACTCGGATTGCCAGACTATGGGCACCTCAAGGGCGCCGACTTGGCTCCCTTGGGGAGGTTTGCACCTCCCCGACTGTCATGTTCTGGCGATGTTTCTTATAGGGCGGACAAAACAAACGGTCCGACCAAAGTGTCGGCCCCAGATCAAGCGGCTCGAGAGCCATTTCCGGAAAAGGGGTGTTTTTGGGCATTTTTTCCGGTTGACGGGTTTTGCGCACAAAAAAATGACAGGTTCTTGCTGTTGTTTCTCACGGTTTTACGTTGTCGGGTGTGAGCACTTGCCGCAGCCTTTTGGGGACACTTTTGGGTCCGGGGCGGTGGGGGGGGAACCGCTCGCGGGTGCAAGACGTGGTTTCGACCCCACGTACAGCATGTGGAGTTGGAGAACGGCGTCCCGCAACAGGCTTTGTAACCTCGAGATCTGCCGCCTGGGCCTGGCTGTTTGCGCGGTCGCTGCCAAGCCCAACTGATCTTGGAGGTTTGGGCCCAACAAGCCCGCTTCTCGTGCCAAGGCTTGTTTAACCGCGGGATCTACATTGCCCGGACCTTTTGCTGTTTCCGTTGCCGTCTTTTAAGGTGATCCGTGAGGCTCTTGCTCAACTCACCGTCTGTCAGGCTCCCTTTATGTTTGACCCGCCGAGCAATCACGTCACATGCCAGGTGCCAGGATCCACTGCGACGTGCAGATCTTCTCGCGGTGCGGCCCTTTGGAGTTGCTTTTTTTTCACATTTTGTTTGGCCGCTTGCAAGGTGGATCCACAATTCGTTCTACAGGACTCCTGTGCAGGTTGCGCGGCGTTTTCATGGTCTGGTCCAATTTGCCAAGTTGACCTGGTGAGGCCACGTGGATCTTCCTGTGTTTGTGGGTCTCTAGGGTCCCTAGGGTCCCTGGGGTCCCTGAAGGTTCCCTAGCGTTCTTGACGCAAGCATCCGTCAATCTGAAGCGTCATTGGAAACCCTGCGGACCCCAGGGGACCCCAGGGACCCTAGGGACCCTAGGGACCTTAGGGACCCGGGGACACCCTGTGGTACCTGGGGTGACAAGGTGGGGTGCAACGAACATTCCTGCGGTCAATTGCAGGTTTTTTGCTGGAAGCGACTTGTGAAGTGGTTTTTGATCATGTATCGGTTTCAGTAGATACAGATCTATTTATTTGTGTACATTCATAGATTTATCAATTTATAGATCTTTATATTATTATATTTCTAGATTTGTAGATCTATACATTCATAGATGTTTAGATTTGTAGATTTATCAATTTATAGATCGATCTTTTATTATATTTCTAGATTTGTAGATCTAGATTTATCAATTTATAGATCTTTATATTGTTATATTTCTAGATTTGTAGATCTATACATTCATAGATTTTTAGATTTGTAGATTTATCAATTTATAGATCTGTACATTATTAGATTTCTAGATTTGCAGATTTTTAGACTGATAGTCTACGTTGCTTTGGTTTGCGTAGCAGAACGACTTTGTTCAATGGAGGTTCAAGGCACGCCACTTCCCAGAGGCTCCCCCCTTCCAAGACCTGCGGAGTCCCCGGGGTCCCTAGGGTCCCTAGGGTCCCTAGGGTCCCTGGTGCCCAAAGGTACCCAGGGTTTTCAGAGGGACCAGGGACCCTGGGGACCCCAGGGACCCCAAGCACGCTACCCCCAGGGACCCCACAAACCCCAGGGTCTCCAGGGACCTTGGGTGCTTCAGATACTGCCCACCGCAAATCCGAGAAAATCCAGGGACCCCAGGACCCCAGGGACCAGGGACCCCAGGGACCCCAGGGACCCCAGGGATTTCAGGGACCCCACAGACCCCAACAACCCAGGGACCCCAGGACGCTCGTCGGCCCAGGCCGGGCCAGTAGAAGACGCCTGGTGCCCAGCAGATTCCAGCAGCAGCATGTGCACATGTGACTTTCAGAGGAGTTGGTCAGAATTTGGCAGACGAGTTGATCAGACTTTGGATGTGAGGGCTTGCGAAGCTGATTTTGGCTGAAGTCTGAAAGTTGCTTGTGGATCTTGTTGCTATGTCCTTCAATGCAGTTGCGGGCTATCTCGGCGACCTTGCCCGCGGCAAGCGTGAGGGTGACGGCGAGCCGGCCAAGTCTGACTGGGAAGACTTGCAGGCCGCCGTCTTGGCCGGTGACACAAAGGCCCTGCAGGTGGCCGACGCAGTGATGGCGCAGGCCAAGAGCCGCACTGACGCCGAGCGCATGGAGGCGTTGGGACGCCTCCTGCAGGAGGAGTCCGTGGAGGACTGGCGGAGCCTGCAGCTTGGCGCTCCGCGTGCAGCCATGCCTGCCTCTGACAGCGTCTCATCCAGGGACCCCAGGAACCTCAGGGACCCCAGCAACGCCAGGCGCCCCAGAAACCTCAAAACTTTCAGAGACCCCTGAAACCCCCGCCCTCCAGGGCACGACAGCTTGTGACTTCCGCGGTGCCGATTTCGGTTGCTTGTTTTGCAGGCAGGCCAGTTTGGTATCTCGCTTGGACTTTGATGCAGCGGCAGGATGTGTCTGACGGATGGACGCTGCGAAGCCTTGCAAGGCTTGGCCCGACCGACCTTCAGGCCGCGAGTGAAAAGGAGGAGGAGCATCCAAACCCGTGCGTTGGTGTTGCCAAAGAAGCCAGTCAATCTTGTGTTTGCTCTGGAAACTTGGCTCGAGGATACTCATCAACACTGACACAACAACAGCTCGCAATGGTTGCCCGATAGGTCTAGTGCCAGTGCTTGAGGAATCGCAGGCCGCTCAAGCGCTTTTCGAATAGCCATGGCGATGATGCGGACCAGGACCAAAAGCCGAGGCTGGCAAGCTTGTGACGCTACCGTGCCCGCGGTGGGCAGCGGCCAGGTATGTGCCTCTGCCTTCTCGGGATCGCATTGGCGCTGCTCGTGCAGCCGAGCACGGCCTGGGTCTTGGGACATATTTTTCCCGAAGGTTTTCGGGTTTCAGGAGTCCCTTGTCGCCGCCCAGGACTTTGCTCGAGGAGTTCCTGGGCTGAAGGAGCATGAAGTCCCTCCTTGGGATGTTCTTGTTTCGTGCTGAGTGCCAGGACAGCATGTTGGCCCAGTTCTCAGAGTTGCCCGCAGGCGCAAGCAGATTGCACTTTGGCTCTTTCAGGCAAAACGGCACCCGTTGCATGCCGGAGTCGCTCGGCGCGCCGGGGCTGCGCAAGAGGACTCCTCCGACCCGACGCCTGTTCGCATCTTTTGCCGGTTGCCGCCAGGACAACAGTGGCCAGGCCTGGGGGACACGTGCATCGGGCTTGAACGTTGGGCTTGTTGGTTGTCAGGACCGGCGCGATCTCGAGGAGGCGGCGGACCTTCAGAGAAAGCGACGTCCCAGCTTGGCCTCGCTCAGGTGGTTGCAGAAGCCGACAGGGTGCTGGAGGACAACGGCACGGTGAAAGAGACCAAAGCCGTCTTGCGCCGCTGGAGCAGCACGTGGGTCGGGGTTGCAAGAGCGGTGAAAGTGTTGAGCTCAGGAAAAGCGCAGAAGATATATCCAGGAAGTGGACCCTTTCAGGGAAGAAAGACGAGTTGCAACAAAAACTGCGCGAGTTTGTGGAGGAGGCAGGACTGCGTGCTTTGTCTGAGATTCGCAAGCGGTTTTCGTGCGACGCAGGCCAAAGCAACCAAAAAGGGCTTGGAAGAGGCCGTCGGTTCGTGCGCACAGCTGGGGTGTGTGAGTCGAGTTGGTGCAATTGGTCCGCCAGGATTCCCACAGGGCACAGGTCCAGATCTCGGCGTTGATGTGATGTTTTTGCCTAAATTTCAGCTCTTGAGGTGACAAGCTGGCACCCTGGGCGTGGCGGAGTTGCTTCGTGCGCCAGCCCGCAGCAGGACGCTCCAATCAGCAGTTGTAAATTTGGCCGGTTGCAATCGTGCCAGGACAGTGGTGCGGAGGCCGGGGGCTCGCATGCGCCAGGCTTGGTTGTTGGTGAGTGCTGGCAGGACTGGCTCGCCAAGAGCCGCGAGGAGGTGGAGGCTTTTGGCGAAGAGGAGGTTCTGAGCTGGGCCGAAGCGGTGCTGAACGAGGGCAAGGTGAGAGATGAGCTCATCCAGCGCACGGTGACGACACTGCAGCAGCAGGGCGTCACCGGCAAATCCCTGCTGAAGCTCACGCTGGAAGAGCTGATGGCAGCTCCGTACAACATCCCTGGCGGCCCTGCAAGGCTTCTGGCTGAGAAGATCCGGCTGTTGCAAGAGCCCGAGGCGCGGCTGGAAAATCGTTTGCTCTTGACTTCGTTCTGAGACGTTGGTCGTTGCGTGTGGTTTTTAAATTCCCCCCGCGGCCCGCAAATGCTTTTGGTGGGGCTGCCCTGATCAACATCCACAGAACCAGGAAATCCCAAGGTTACATTTGTGCAGATTGCGGCGGTTCGTGTCGTTGGCAGGCTCGGTATGGAGCCCCCATGAACGGATGGTTGCCTTTCCTTGTTGGAGGTCGGCCATTCCTGCCGGTCGACATTGATTGAGACGTGCCGTTGATCGTTGTGAGTGATTTTGCGCTTGCCCCCAGCCTGCTTTTGAAAGAGCAAGACCTGCCCGTCTGCCGGGGAGAGGGAGGGCAAACTCTGATGTCTTTGCACCCATTGGGGTCCTTGCTGCTGCAGGCACAAGTGCATTCTATGAATGTTCTCTTTGATCTCCCTGGCGGTGTTCTTGCTCGTTGTTTTGCCCGTTTTGCTGCCATTCCATCCCGTTCTGTTGTTCATTTTTCTCCGTACCTGTTCATATCTGCCTGATTTGGTGTGAGTGTTTGGCGCAAAACTATCAAACAGTCGAGGGGGAACCCGCAAATATTGAAGAGCCTGCTGTTCCAGTCGCCTGCCTTTTGAAGAGCAAGACCTACCCTTCTGCCATGGTCGTTGCTGCTGCAGACACAATGCAATCCGAAGGTTAAATTTTGTTCCGACAGCACGAGCATGGAGGAGATGGCTAAAGTGTGCACAATGTATTTCTGCTGCCGGGTGACGTTGAGACGTGCCGTTTGACGTTTTGTGTGGTTTTGATTTCCCCCGTGGAAATGCTTTCAGTGGGGCTGCCCTGATCACATCCACAGAACCTGAACGGGGTTCCTGGGAACTCAGTGGTTTTGCTCAGCGTGGAGCCCCACAAAAGGATTGTTGAGCTGAACCGCGCATCTCCCGCTTTGCTTTCATGGGCAGTGTTCCTGCTGGAAAATTTGGTTTTGTTTCGGTTTTGGTACCCGTGTGTTCCTCGCTTTCCTAGTGCTCGGCTTTCGCACTAAGTACCCATGCTTCTTTGTGGAGTGTTGTGAATGGTTAGCGTTTTGCAATACATGAATCAGTGGGAAGGAACCTGCTAGTCATCGATTTTCTCACCAATTGCCGATGCGTGTTTGGTTTGTTGCGATTGTTTGTCCTTCCCAGCATTCCCTCATGCATAGCCACCTCAAATTTGGGCACCTTCCGCGCAGGTTGAGCTCCCTCGTTTTAACGCCGCAGATCTCTCGGACTTGGAAGACCGCTTTTTGAACCGCCGAATCAACAACAAGAATGAGAGGCCTTTTGAGGAAAGAGAGGCGGTTGTTGAGAGTGTTGTGGAGCAAATGGAGGAGATCCAAAGGAAACAGACCAACAAGCCGACGGTCTTGGCCTTGTACAGCCCGCGGGGCACCGGCAAGACATCGCTCATTCGTCATTTGGCGAAGGTCTCAAACTTTTCCGAAAGTCGACGGTGCGGGCGGCTCTTGGTATTTGATGCGTTGACGATTCCGCCAACGCTGCTGCGCAAAGATCCTGACTTGCTGGTTTCTGCCATCATCTTGTGGCACCTTTGCCAGATCTTCGATGGCTACTCTGTGGAGGTGAGCCAAGGGCCACCCATTGGTTTCCAGACGACGAGGTTCAGCGATTTGGTCAACATATTGGAATCCAGCCGATCATCGCCAGCTGTCAACAGCTTTGAGGCTTGGGTTCGCTTACGTTGCAGAATCAAGGAAGCTGTTTTCGAGCAGTGGCTTCTGGTGACGGCTGCAGCCTTCAATGCAACACCAGCCTGCCCTTGCTTACTGTTCCTCGATCAGGCAGAGCTGCTTGTGAACAGAAAGGTCGATGAACATCGTGGACAGAAATCGGTCTTCACCCAAATATTGAGCCAATTCCCGCAGGGGCTTGGCATGTTTTCCGCAGGCACAGTCAATATCCTGCAAGATAGGCCATCCGACGAGTACACCATGCTGAAGGTCCAGAAAGCTCCAGCTCTAGAGCCATTGTCACTGCAAGCTGCCAGACGAGCCATGAAAGGCTGGAGGGGTACGCAGTACCAGGAGGAGGAATTCAACAAAATTTTCCTCTTCTCTGCCGGGGTACCCCGACTTTTGGAGGCGGCTTTCCAGACCAGGGGTGAGTTGGCATCAACTGCTCAGGTTGCACTCAACGCCATGTCGAATGAGTTCGAAAGCTCGTACGCGGATGCAGCGCCTTATTTCGCTGAGCCCAAAGTGGCTTTGTCGTTGGTTCTTTGCTCGGCGGTTCGATGGCCTGCAGAAGGCAACCAGTTTGTGCCCGGAACCTCACTAAGGTGGTCAGACATCTTCAGGGCCGGAGCAGCATTTCCAAACAACAAGTCCGTACTGGTTCCACGGCTGTGGTGGTGTAAGGATACCAATATCAAAGACGCCCTCCAAAACGACTTGAAACAGCGGAACATTTCGTTGGAAGGGCTCCTGCCAGACTTGCTGGAACTGTTGAAAGGGCAGGAAAGGGGCGCTACAGAGAGGGGGCCGCTGTGGGAAGGCCTGGTGGCCAATTCCCTGGCTGTTCGCTTCCACCTTCACTGCGTAGCAAGAAATCTCAGTCCTGAAGTCACCTGGGTCCCGTTTTCGGAGATCTACCCTACGGAGGATCCACATTTGCGAGCTGTTTTGGAGCCGTTCGAAGTTTGCTGGAGTGATGGTGTGGAATATCCAAGCGGCCAAGGCAATGAAGCAACTGTCATGAGTGACGTTGGGAAGGCCATCAAGTCCAACCGGAATTTTGCAACGGCTCACCACGACCTTTTGATCCCTGTGAGAGGCAACTGGTAAGCTCGAGTTCATTGCTGCGCAATGTCGTTATGGAAAGAAAAAGGATGCAGGCGGCCTGAAGTTGCAGGACAAGGCAAAGAAGGACAACTTTGAGGACATGCAAAATGTGTTGCTGCAGATTTGCAGTGAGTCTGAAGGCTGGCAGTCCTTTACAAACAAGACATGGGCCAGACGTCAGGAGGAGAAGAAATACTCTCTCATGAGTTGCGAGACTATCATTGCGCAGCTGGACGTGCTGAAACTTTTGTGAGTGTAAAAAAAAACGCGCTAGCAGGTGGGAGCACATGTTCCATGGGTCAGGCTTGCATCCACAAATTGAATGGCCGTTTTGGGCGGGGTCC